ATCGGATATTGTTGATGAAGTGATAGTATTACAGTCTGTGTGTTTATAGTAAACGGATATTGTTGATGAATTGATAGTGTTACAGTCAGTATGTTTATAGTAAACGGATATTGTTGATGATTTGATGGTGTTACAGTCAGTATATTTATAGTAAATGGATGATGTTGATGAAGTGATAGTGTTACAGTCAGTATATTTATAGTAACCGGATATTGTTGATGAAGTGATAGTGTTACAGTCAGTATGTTTATAGTAACCGGATATTGTTGATGAAGTGATAGTGTTACAGTCAGTATGTTTATAGTAAACTGATATTGTTGATGAAGTGATAGTGTAACAGTCAGTATGTTTATAGTAAACGGATATTGGTGGTGAAGTGTTACAGTCTTTATGTTTATAGTAAACGGATATTGTTGATGAATTGACAGTGTTACAATCAGTATGTTTATAGTAATCGGATATTGTTGATGAAGTGATAGTGGTATAATAAGTATGCTTATAGTAAACGGATATTGTTGATGAAGTGATAGTGGTATAATAAGTATGCTTATAGTAAACGGATAATATCGATGAAGTAACAGTGTTATAATAGATATGCTTATAGTAAATGGATATTGTCGATAGAACGAATCACCAGCTCATGTCTTTGAAATAACATTCGGCACGACAGACAAAGTATTTTATAATTACAAATATTTTTCAACATGCAAGTTATTCACCCTACAACTCTTAATTATGATGTTTTTCTTCAGTTCATTTTATCGTTTCTGTGTGAATATATATATATATATACATATATTATTATATTTATTCATAAGTCTTAGGTAACCGATTTTCTGAATAGTAAATATTTCTTGAAAACATTGGAGCTCTGCCATATTAGCACTGTAACTTATCAATGCTTAACTGTTTCAATTTAAGATTAAACGCTGTTATACCACTACACATTTAATAGGACAGTACCACCTTACTGAAATGGCAACACTTGCAAGAGTAGAAATAGTTTGAAATTAAATAGTGGTTTGATATGACTTGCTAGTTAATGTAGCACCTCGTGTAAATCCTCCGAACCAATGATTGGTTTGATACCTTTGAGGTAGAGCTCTTTAAGACAGCACATTTCCTTTCCTTGCGTGCTTATTTCGTATCTTATTAAATAGTAAAGATTTATTATTAGAAGATCAATTTTGAAGTAAACTTTTTCTTTTAGTTTTTACTTGTCTTTACTTTGCTTATTTTAGAAGTATAATAGAAGTATTAAGAATTAAATGGTATCACTAAGCTTCCAGAGGTGGACAGGAAATTGAGCTGTCTCGGAAGATCGGAAGAATGACCTCATGGAGTCCTATAAGAGTGCAATGAACGTTCTTGTGCTTGGGAGTTTGACGGTGAGACTGTTTACAGACTTAATCGACCATAAAAGATAAAAAAGCACAATCAAAACGCCTATTACAATTGATCGCGAAACCAAAATGATGCATTTCGTGAAGAAATAGTCTTTTTGACTTTTGCTTTTATAGTTACTAAAGTTTGCCTCGAAAGCGGATAAAAGGTAAATAAACACGTTTTCTGTGAGAAAAACGTACCAATAGAAGTATACTTTTTTCTTGGCCAATACAATAGAGAGCTATCCACTTGTTTATATAGCCTGTGGGTGAACTTTAAACTTTTTTTGAAGAACGACTGAAAATAACTGATGTGCAGTGCTGGAAAGATCAACATACAAAGAGTAACTACTCAACAGTCTATTTGTATGAAAACAAATCTCTTGCCTTCTCTCCAATACTATTGTTCTTACAAATTATGCATATATAATTCGTTGATGCTGAGTAATTACTGGATTATATAAGAATAACATCGGTTCATAGAATCAATTTAGGTACACAAAACGGCTTTCTTTTGCGAAGGTTCAAATTTAGAAGATAGCTGTAACCAAGATCTTTAAAAACGAGTTGAATATAGTTTTTGTGTTAGTTATAAAATCTGTTTATTCCGCGACTTTAAAGACATGTGTAAGTAAATAAAGGTCAAGCTGTCTGAAAGTTTTATTAATTGTAGCAGAATATAAGCAAGCAATATTTAGTATTTTCAGCCTGAACGACATCTTACGCGATTCATGGGCCAAACGTCCACGTCTAAGGCTCAGATACAACGTTTCATAACTTTGAATTGTTGACCGAGGGGGCAACCAGCCAGTAGTATCCACAGCTATACAACCAGATTGATAATCCTCTATCGGCAGTTATAAGAGTTAACCCAATAGAGTTATATGAACAAAGTATGTTTTTATTATTACGTTTTTCTCATTGTGTGTGTATATATGTACAGTATATATACTGACCAAAGGGGTGTTTATGCAACATGTTTATCGCATCTTAATTAACTGGTGAGTTCTGAATAATGTTAAATACTTCTAAGCGATGCTAGTTTTGAAAAATTTATATATATATATTCCGCACACATTATTTACACAGCTTTCTTTACAACTCCCCAGTGGCTCATCGGTAAGTCTGAAGGCTTAAAACGCCAAAAACCAGATTTTGATAACCTTTGTGGGCACAGCACAGATGGCCCATTGTGTAACTTTGCGCTTAATAACAAACAAGCAACGTTTTTTTTTTTTTACTAATTAT